AAGCCCAGAGTGACTTCTGCCAAGTTTCGTGAAAATCGATCAAGATTTAGATATAGCTCCCTTATATTTTATCGATTGATTTTGAGTAATTGACGTACCAAGGAACCAATGTATGGTTGATAGGAACAAAACGTACTGAAATTAGTATAACCTAACCTGTGTTAAGTGACAAGAAATCGGTTCAGATTTGGATATAGCGTCCATATATATTTTCGTCCGATTTTAAGTAAATGGTGCAATAAATGCCTCATGTTTGTCAGATTGACACGAAATTTTTCACATCGCGCAAAACTTAGCATAGAATAGCGTAACAAACGAATGACATGTTTATGGATTGATCTAAGTCGATTCACATTTAGATAAATATCACATATTTTAGTTCATCCAATTTCATGTTAATAGTCCTGTTTACTATACCCATAGTGGTGAAGGGTATCATATAGTCGGCCCCGTCCGACTTTAGTACTTTCCTTACTGGTTTTTTAATACAAAATAAACAATTGTATTTCCACTTACATTAAATTGTGCCGTCATACCAAATGGAATCGATGAATTGAGCAGCTCCACCAACATATCAGGCGGACAATCCAAAATTATACGCCTTTCACCTTTTATGCTCTTCCATAAAATTCGATAATCTTCACCTCTCTTAAATGTACGAACACGAACAATTTTCTCATTTAAATCTCTTAGCTGGATGAGATCTTGTAGACGAAACGGTGCACTGGCTAAAAATACAACAAATGAAATTGTTCTCATTTTTAATAATTTTCCATTGCCCAATGCTCACCATCATCTTCATCATAGACTATGGTATATTTTCTCCAGCCATAATTCTGTACAATATCAGCATAGGCCTTAGACAACACCGGCTGGGCGGGAAAAACATTGAGAGTCATTTGATGATTGACTTTTGAGAGATCACTCTCTTCCGCTAGATAATCGAAGAGCATGTGCGGTATGCCGGTGGCATTACAAATAAGCGAGACAATATCTAAAAATATGAAAAGTAATAAAAAATATAAACAAAAATGCAAGAGCAAAACAAATAACAAGAAAACATGAATGGATTTTTGTCTCCCACACGCCGTCATAATTTGAATGTGGGTCAAACATATTTTTAGCAGGGATGGAAAGTTTTTAGTACAAATTAAACATGACTGATGGAAACTCATAGACAGATATTTTCTTCATAAATAATATTTTTGCTTATTCTGTAAATGTGGGAAAACCATTAATGCTCCAAAGAGTTAATCTGATTTGAAAATACATACGGCTAGGAAGTTTAACATACAAAAAATGATTTACGACATGTTTAGAAGCCATGTCCAAAAATGGTCCTAATTTGAAAAATGTTTGCGAAAATGTTAAACCGTATTGATATTTTCTGCATATAAGATTTTCAATTCCCTAGGACCCGGACTGGCAAATTATTGTTACTTCGTCTACAAGGATGGGAACCTTTCACTGTCACTTCGCGGGTAAAACCGGACATGCCAAATTACTGCTGCTTAGGTGGAAAAATTCGGATAAAACTAAAAAATACAAAAAAATCGCTATGATGAGGATATTTCTAAATTTGGACCTCTATAATATCTGGTCTGAAAAAATGTGTTTGACCTCCAAGAAATCATAATGCTGAATTATAGCCACTTAATTAGGAAAATTCGATTAAAACCTTTTTAATACCGACATAGGGCGGGACCTCTATATGGGGACAATGTAGAATCATGGACCAAATTTTTCAAAAACCTTTAGTATCTAAGTATGAGTCTTTCGGTTGGTGCTATGGTAGAACGTGGAATGATATTGATAATATTTAGTAGAAGTATTTAACGCCCAATAAGAACACAAAATATCAAAAAGAGTACTCCCATAACCCCAAAACTTCGACCAATATTGATTATTCATATTAGAGATATTTTCTACTCAATGGGAGCCTAAAATATATTATTACAGCCGATTTGATGGAAAACCTGTCGAAACAGCACATCACATCGAAGTTGTGAATGTACTGTTGTATGCATGCTAAAACGGTCAAGAAGCCGGCGATATTGGTCGCTATAAGCGTACGTTTCCCGGAACTGTTGGATAAGTCGTTATGGCCGAAAATCGACGGTGACTTTGCAATAACATCGAATTGCGAATTTTTTGGCAATAATTAGATTGAGTTCATGAAATAAATATCACTTATGAGGGTTTCTGCATTAAAAACGTAAATTTTCAACACGTTTAGTAATTGCAAATGTGAAATCAGATTTTTAAATATAAGAAAACCAGTAAGGAAAATATTAAAGTCGGACTGGGCCGACTATATGATACCCTTCACCACTTTGGGTATATTGTACATATGTACCCTTACAATTGTATGTCAATGTTCACTCGATGGAACATACTCATGCCTTTCTGCAACCTATGCTAAATTTAACTTCATTCGGGTAGATTTCGTCGTCTGCGCACCATGGGACAAATGTATGGAAAACGATGTATAGCAAAATAGATACACGATATTCGGTACTTCGCACTTTTTAATCTCAATCAGACACCCGTGCGAAATACATATGCAAGCTATGGCTACATCTGCACCAATTTCAACAAAACGCAATAACATCATTCAAGTCTCAATTAAAGACATTGTGCAAAATTTCGTGTTAATCGGACAAACATTACATAAAATCGGACGAAAATATATATGGGAGATATATCAAAATCTGAACGGATTTTCACGAAACTTAACACACATCACTCTGGACTTAATGCCAAATTTCGTGCGAATCGAAGGATATATAGGGAAAATCGAATGAAAATATATATGGGTGCTATATCCAAATCTGAACAGATTTTCATGAATCTTAGTACACATCATTCTAGACTCAATTCAGTACGCTATGGCAAATTTCGCGCAAATCGAAGGATATATAGGGACTTTGATGCACCATTTACCTAAAACCGGACGAAAATATATATGGGAGCTATATCTAAATCTGAAACGATTTTCACGAAATTTAACACAAATATTTCTAGACTTAATTGAGTACGCTATGCCAAGGAATATAAAGGGATTTTGTTGCACCATTTACCTAAAATCGGACGAATATATATATATTTTTTTAGACATAATTCAATACTGGGACTTTGGTGCACTATTTACCTAAAATCGGACGAAAATATATATGGGAGGCAGCAACGTACACAGGATTTCATTCGCTGTTGCAAACATAAATTTACTGTGAAAAAAAAATTATTTCGGGGGGCGGCCCGGGGGGCCCGGCACCGGGGCCGCCCCCCTTACGTCACTGATGGGAGGTATATCTAAATCTGAACCGATTCTAAAGTTAATTTAGTACGCTGTGCCAAATGTTAAATTGTAAACAATTTAACATGGACGATCATGCATAAATGGACTCAGAAAGTGATTCTATGCATATTATCAAAAGGTACCATGCGTCTACCTCGTTTCCTTTTGCCTATTACAAACATATGCACAAAGACATAATATCTTGTACCACAATGTGGTGAAGGGTATAAAAACAAAGTCGATTTTGATAGTTTTTGGTACGAAGATTCCAGCCAAATTGATAAAATAAAAAAAACATTAGGGCATAGTGTTATGTGCTTATTTTTATAAACTTTTTAAAGGCAATTTCCAACGACTAAGTTTGTTATTGTCTTCAAATTACTGATAAGTTTCACATTATAATCATCAGGACTTTCTGCTTGACTCTGACCTCATGCCATTTGTAAACCGGGACCTACAATGTTGTAATATTTTACTAGTGTAAAGCTCAAAGTATCCAATTTTAAAATATATAAAAGTTTATCGGATCTACCAGAAATTGTCTTTTTGTCAAAAAAATTGGATTCCTGATCCATAGTGCAACACTAGAGCGTTATTGATTTTCCTACAACATTTCATAATTTCAAAATATACCATTCCATCAGAATTTCCATCTCTGATTGGGCACACTTTGTTCATACATACCACAGTCTGCCTTTGAACTTGGTCCAAAAATAACTGCGGCACCATTTTCTATAAGTTTGTTAGCTGAAACATTTTTAAATGCGTTTAATTAATTGTTTGTTTTCACGCTAAACATTTTAATGCATACCTTTAGTTTCTAATATTGCCGAACTATCCGCATCGTCAAGTTTTTCAATTAACGGTATTAATTTAAAATTCACTTCATTTTTATTATTGATTAAATTTATTGTTGTTACAAAGGATTCCTCAATTTCATATTCATCGTCGTAAAATAATGCACCTTGAAAAGAAACAAACAAAATTAAAAAACTAATATGAACAATTTAATTTTCCAAAATAAAAACAAAATTTTTACCAATATTAATATTTTCATGTTGATGAGAATTTTTTATAAACAGCACAGCAATAAAAAATGCACTCCATATACAAATATTTCTCATTTTGTTTTAGTTTTCATTACGATTTGTTGGTAATATTAATGTATATTCATGATATGTATATGTATGTGTATAATATTGTCACTTTTCACTTATGTTATTTGTTTTTTTTTTTCGTATCGTACAGCATTCCATCAGCACCCAACCGAATCTCGAAACTTACTAAATATTAATTTGATATTTGTGAAATATTTCAGTGGAACATATTTTCGAAATGAGAGAAATGTTTTTTTCCTCTATATGTGTGCGACAAAGAATTTTTCTCATTTTACTCATAACATTTCTTCTTATTATTAAGGAGAAGAAGAACATATGGAAAATATTATTAATGAAAATGCATATTAACACAAAAATGTAGCAACAGTATATAACAAAACAGTTTTCCAAAACTAATGAAATTCGTATACGAATATAGAAAAGCAGAAATTTTACTACCAGCTTCAAAATATGCTTCTTCATATAAGGAAAAGGATGGTTGTTTTTTGGTAGAAATGTTTTATCTCAAATTCGTAGTCAGATATGCACCTCATTCGAGGTATAATTTATGAAAAGTCCTTCTTTTTGACGGTGGGCATGATTTCCGACTACTGAATCGTCAAAATCGACCACAAATCGATGTAGAAAATAAAGAAGATTTTGACCGATTCCATAAATCTTTCGAAAAATTTACTCTCATACACTTCAAGATTTGCCTCACAACTATCCATGCTTCAGATTTATATAACAGCACGGCTAGTACCACCATCTTGTAGAGTGGGAGCTTGGATTGGCGAGAGGTGGACTTGTTTTTGAATTGCTTACTCAGATCATAGTAGCGCCTGTTGGTCAACACTATTCTTCTCCGGATTTCAAACTGATGTTATTAGTTTTGTTTATAGCGGTATCGTCCACTACCTCGAAGATGTAAATTTCCACAGTTAGTCCGAGTGTACTGGACGTCTTGCGCGTTGATATTATCGGCTTGGTCTTCTGGCCATTTACTGTCCCACTTTGGCAGTCTCCTTCTCAATTCGTTCCAAGGTGGGGCAATGTTCGACCCATTATGTCGATGTCGTCGGCGTAGGCGAGTAACATTTGCTGCTCAGAGTGTCATTTCTGTTCATATTTGAATCTCGTATGACCTTTTCCTTGTCTTAAGGGGACCCCCCCCCCATTCTCGGGGTCAACATTTTTGTTGGTATAATTCGAACCTACACTGATTAAAGAATGTCTCTACAAAATTTCAAGTGCAAATCTCAAGAACTCTTGAAGAAATAGCCGATTTATTATGTCAGCATCAAGTGACGGCTGAAGGGCTTCTCAAACTTTAAACGCTTTTTTCTCTAAACATTTTTTTGCGAATGGCGGGCACGATAACTCAAAAACTAATAATCCAATCGGTTCCAAATTTTGCAACGTTTCTCTGGGAGTGTATAGCTCACGTATGAACTAGGATAAAACCAATCGGTGAAGATCTTCCTTATTTTTTAACTTGGTTTTTGGTAAAAAATCGGCGATTTTCCAAAAATATTTTTTCAAAGGTCCACCATTTTGTTAATTTTAGAGCGATGTCAGTAATCCTAGTTCATACGAGAGCCAGACATGTACTCTTTCTAAGGCAGTTGGAATTTTCGGATTCCGATGTTCCAGTGAGGAGTTATCATGCCCGCCATCAAAAATAAGGACTTTTCTTTGATCACAAAAAACAACAACAAAACAACAACAAAAATTTTTTGTAAATTATTTTTCTTCCTTTTTAAATCTTCAAATATATATGTGCAAAGTTACAAACCTTAACAAGCATTGGTTTTAATTTACCAGCCCATTTAAAATCATAAAAAAAGTCGAGAATGGGGGGGTTCCCTTAATCCTCGTTTGGTACTAAAGGACTCCGATAGGTCCTTTCCGACTTTAACAGCTAACCTTGTGCCAGTTAAAGTTATTCCGCATAGTCGAATAAGGCTTTATAGTCGACGAATTGGTGGAATTTTTCGATGTGTTTTCCATGGGTCTTTTCTAGGATTTAGCGCAGAGTGGTCAATGCTGGATTTGACAGACCTAACGCTACATTGATATGGTCCAATAATATTGTTGGCCATTGACTTCAGTCGTTCGCACAGCACTTTATATGCGATGGGAAGGAGACTATTCCTCTGCTTCATTATTTTTCAGCCGATTAATTGTTATTATACCCTCCACCATAGTATGGAGGGTATATTAATTTTGTCATTCCGTTTGTAACTCATCGAAATATTCATTTCCGACCCTATAAAGTATATATATTCTTGATCAGGGTAAAATTCTAAGACGATCTAGCCATGTCCGTCCGTCTGTCCGTCCGTCCGTCTGTTGTAATCACGCTATCTTCTGAAGGAATTGATTTAGGGTGCTGAAATTTTGCATAGGGTTGTCTTTTGTCTGCAGGCAGGTCAAGTTCGAAGTACCCCCCAATTTTCGGTATTTTTGGGTTCTTGGGCGCGTTTAGGCATAGCCCCCATATAACGGTACCTCCTAATTTTCAGTATTTTGCGGGTTTTAATCGTATTTTTCCACCGAATGGCTGTAATTTAGTATTTCGGGTTCTTAGAAGGTACCAAATCTCTCCACATAAAATTATAAATATATGTCAATTTTTTCGGATATCCCCTATATAAGGGTACCCCCCAATTTTCAGTATTTTGGGGTTCTTGAGAGCGTTTTTCAACCGAATACGCTGAAATTTAATACATTGGTTTCTTAATAGGTACCAAATCTTTCCACAAAAAATTAGAAATATAGGTCAATTTTTTCGGATATCCCCCAATTTTCGGTATTTTTGGGTTCTTGAGCGCGTTTTTCAACCGAATGCGCTGAAATTTGGTACATTGAATTCTTAACAGGTTCCAAATCTCCCCACAAAATATTATGAATATAGGTCCATTTTTTCGGATAGCGTACCACCAATTTTCGGTATTTTGGGGTTCTTGAGCGCGTTTTTCAACCGAATTTGCTGCAATTTGGTATTTTGCAGTCGTATATGGTAACAAATTTCCCTACCACATATTATTTATATTCGCCCTTTTTTTTGGGGTAGTCCCCATATAACCCCCTTTTTTATATTAAAATAGTTATCTGATTTGTTCCGCGTTTTGAGTTTGGTTCTAAGACTCTGTTGTAATCATTTCACCTGCGGAGGATAGAGAGATAAAATATTAGAACGTAAGGTTCGATAATGAACTATAGCCACATTTAGGCCTAGCCCCTGATTGGATTCCAAAAGGAGTGGACCGATATTCCCCAATTTCGAATTTGAACTAAGCTTGGAAGAAATAATAAGATGGGCAAAGTTTGGATGAAATCTAAATTTTCTGAAACGAATTTGGTCCAAAGGAACTAGACCCCATGTTCCTTTGGACCAAATTCGATGAGGCACATTTTCACCGTGTAATGTGTATACACCCTTTAGAAATTTCTAAAATTCTTATTATGGTTTACATAAACCGTTTTTAGAAATGTCGGTATAGGTCCACTTTTTGGTATGTTCCCTATATTTTCATTTCTAGTACCTGTCAATATAACTATGGTGGAGGGTATCCAAAGTTCGGCCCGGCCGCACTTACCGCTTTTTCACTTGTTCTGACCTCATCTTGGCTAGGTGGTTTGCACTCTAGACCATCATCCTGGCTGGGCCAGGATGATTCGGTTTGGTGTTATACTCTTCGTACTTCGTTCTGACGCCTTTACATCTCGATTTGCTCTCGTTCACGTTTTTCTTGTTCTTCACTTTTTTGTTTTTGTTTTTTTTTTTTTTTTTTTGAAAATACGCTACTCCTATCTCCTTTTCACCCGATAATTCCCTCTCGCATTGCTTGTTGCTACTGTCTGCAGGATTGCTCTATAGTATAGAGTCTATACGCTGCGTTTTTCATCTCAGTAGCATTACGACACTCCTGATTGTACCACGGGTTTCTTGATGGTGGTCGTTTGTTGATATTTTGTAGTTGTTGATTTGTTGTAGTGTTGATTTGGCAGGGAGTTCGTACCCTTTTCTATAGTTCTTATTGGTGAACTCGCGGCTACAGTTCTTATTGGTGAACTCGCGGCATATACCGCGAGCTACCGCAGGTGGCACCTCGGCCAGGTCAGTGTCCACAATTGAGATGAAAGAGGGACCAAGATAATCCTGGGCTTTGTCATGTTAAAGCCAATCTGAGCCGTTGCTTGGTATCTATCATCCCTTGCGTCACCTTTTGCAAAAAACACTTGTTCGAGAAAAATGCATTTAAAGTTTGAGAAACACTTCTGCCGTCCCTTGATGCTGGCATAAGCCATCGGCTATATCTTCAAGAGTTGCTGAGATTTCTACTTGAAAATTTTAAGGGTTTTTACACCCTTCACCACACTGTGGTACAGAGTATTATGTCTTTGTGCATATGTTTGTAACAGGCAAAAGGAAACGAGATAGACACATGGTTCCTTTTGAGAATATGCATAGAATCACTTTCTAAGTCGATTTATGCATATCCGTCCGTCCGTCTGTCTGTCTATCTGCCTGTCCCTGTTAAATTGTAAACAAAGTATAGGTCGCATTTATGATCCGAAATGGATGAAAATTTCATCCGATTTACGGTTATTGGTGCACCCTAAAAATGTCCTGATTTACACGAATTTCACTGAATTCAGCCTAGACTGATGTGTGCAAAGTTTCGTAAAAATCGGTTCAGATTTAGATATAGCTCCCATATATATTTTCGTCCGATTTAAGGTAAATGGTGCACCAAAGTCCCTAAAAATCTTCCGATTTGCACGAAATTTGGCACAGCGTACTGAATTCAGCCTAGACTGATGTGTGCAAAGTTTCGTAAAAATCGGTTCAGATTTAGATATAGCTCCCATATATATTTTCGTCCGATTTATGGTAAATGGAGCATCAAAGTCCCTTAAAATCTTCATATTTGTACGAAATTTGGCACAGCGTACTGAATT